TCAAATGCTAAGTTAAAAACGAGATCATTCTAACAATCCCACATTATATTTCTCTTCCCGCAGAGTAATAAAGACATCTCACCCATAAGGTAGCTACATTTACATCTATATTAATAGACACAATTGGCTTTGTCAACCCAATGGGGTAATAATAATAATAATAAAATAATAAAAGCAGCTAATCTATTAAGCACTGAATATGTGCCAGTCAGTGTTCTGAGCACTTTACTTGTCAAGTTCACTGAATTCTCACAACAGTGCTTTGAGGTAGGGCTTCCCTTTTTCCCATTAGTTTGGCTCTAAACGCTGACATATTTTAATTACAAAGTCACTAAGCTCAAATTATTCTCATTCAACAACTCTGTCCACAGTACACCAATGTGCAAAACCCTTCGTCTATCCTTTTCAGCAATCTAGGCAAGGAGAAGAGAGAGAACAGACTATCAGTGCAGTCATACGAGTTTGATAAATGCATCACTCCTAATATGTTCGTTTTTAATGCTATTCAAACATTCGCATGGAAACAGCTCTAGCGTAAATATCCCCGAACAAATGGCTGTATATTATCCAGGAGGGAGCAGTTGGACCGCCAGACTGGGGAGTACTGGGCCATCTGGCTCCACAGTCTCTCCAAAACCATCAGCTTTGTTTTCACCCCCAGACTCCAAACAACACATTTTCCACTGTGATGAGTTTACATTTTCCCAAACACAGGTCCTGATCATGCATAAAAATTCCAAACTTCTTCATTCCTCTATGTGCAAGGAAATTTAAATCACCTGCATTTTTGACATGCTACCAGAGGAGAGAGAAAGCTGCTAAACCAGGGCCCCTGCCTGTGAACTTGCCCAGGCTTTTGTTTTTGTTCCTTTCCCCAAATATGTGAAAGAGCCTCTCTGTTGGCCTAGTGAGTTCCATTGGAACTTACTGATATATGAAAAATGTGTTTATCTATCAATGAAGAATCATCAACTGAAAAGGCTGCTAATCCAATATGCCTAACTGTGGCAGGATATAATGACACCATCGATAAGGTAACATGTACTTGCATCAATAACTGAAAGTACCAGGAACATCCGAACACATGTGTACAGAAGTCTAGCCGGGAAGAGATATCTGGTAGCTTTTCGGACTCCTGTACCTTGGACTCATTGTACTGAGACTTCTGAGGGTCCCCTCACCACATCACCCCTCACCTGCAAACTCACATATATAAGGATTGAATAGCTACTATTTTCTCCTTTAAAAAAATCAACAACAACTTTTATTTGGAGATAGAGAAGGTTTCGTTTTGGATAACCTTAAGGAATCAGGCACCCTTTCTCTGATTCATAAAATGTCACTTTTTTTTTTTAAAGCAAGATGGCAGGAGGGGAGGTAAGTTAAAGGGTTTTTTGTTTGTTTTCTCTGTTGAAAGATTAAATAACTTGTGGAAACAGGCATATAATATAATTATATTTAAAATACTACTTGAACATCTGAAATGAAGCATAGTAAACCTCAGATGTTCTCCCACCGCCCTGTGCCCATACATTTGCGCTTCCACAATAGTGAGTGTTTCTGGACACAATGGCCAGGACTTCGGGATCTTATAGTGCCTTCTGCATGCTCGCTAATGGAATACCAAAAACAGCAATGACACAAAACAACCTATTTTTAGTCCTGCTAAACTTGGTTTTGAACAAGCCTTCCCAAAAGCAAGCTTCTTATTTTCTAGTTGGGGGACAAATTTTTTTCAATATCATTCTATGTGCTCTACAAGAGTGGTACGTAGTTAAGGGGCTCAGATCCACACTCATTTGCTTCTGATGAAGCTTTGTCTTTCTTGGAGGGGTACAATATTAAGAGTCTCTACTCAAAATAATCTAATGAGACACTGTGAAAAGATGTGAACTACTGTGTCATGCCAATACATCTTGGTTGATTGAGTACATTTCTGTTTGGCCTGAAAGCGGAGTACCCCACCCACACTAAGGAGCATTCTCTGAACATGTGAAATGCACAGTTCATTTGGGGCTTTGTTTGCCATCCATTCCCTCTGAGTTTTAACCCCAAACTAGTAGGCCAAGGATGTAAATCCTCAAACATACCTTTGAAATGAAAGGTATTACAATGATACACAGAATATTGAGAGGACACTTGAACAGTGGGTAGGTAGTCCCTCCACAATTTATGACTGTCCTAAAACTCATCACATCACTGAACGTAGCTTATTCTGCACTGTAAGTATCAAATTCCTAAGTCCTTATGAAAGAATTACACAGAGGGGGGAAATGTAACTCTTTCATCAGTCAAGCCTTAAATATGAATTATTATGTCACAGTTAGGGCAAGTTGCGCTTCTTCACACCATTGAAGACTATTGCATTACTTGCGCACATAAGAAGCTACCCTACCTCCAAAATTCTGACTGCACCTCATCAAAAACCAAGCAACCAGATGATGGGTAGGGACTACAGAGAAGGTGGATATTTAAGCAATTATTATAAAAACAAACAGGTATGTCTTCAAAATGTTCTTCTCTAGCTATTTTTAGGCCAAATTCAAATAATTATTTCAAGCTTTTCCAGGTCACTCCCCGCCAAAATGTATAATTGCATACATTCATAGTTCTCACTTTCCGTGAGCTGTCACGGTAAAGTAAATGACTTTCTCATACCTGCTATTATTAAAAATACACTCTGCCTGGCTTTTCTCCCTTTCTTCCTCTCCCTCTTCACCGATCAACTTTATAATAGTACCACACAACCAAAGAACACCGTAAGCTACAGTTTGCTTAAGCTCCAGGACATTGTTAATACAATGATTTTTGATGCATTGCTTTTTTAAAACTCAAATGATTATTCTCCCATGCTCTTCATAGAATCCAGCTAATTTCATAATGGGAAAAAACCATTCTTGATAGTGTTTTCAAAGTTTGGGCTAGTTTTAAATCAGAAAGAAGTTAATTACTTCAAACATATTCCAAGTTTACCTCCTTAACAGTTTTATTTGTTTCATAGTGCTGCCTACATTTTAATACATTAAACATTTGGTTTTGCACAAGAAAATTGGACTTATATATTGGTTTATTCTTTATTTTTTAAAATGTAAATCCTGGGAGAGGGGAAGGGGGAGAGAGGGAAAAAAAGTGAGGAGCTGATACCAAGGGCTCAAATGGAAAGCAAATGTTTTGAGAATGATGATGGCAACAAATGTATAAATGTGCTTGACACAATGGATGTATATATGGATTTGTGATAGGAGTTGTAAGAGCCCCCAACAAAATGATTTAAAAAAATAAAATGCAAATCCTAATAAATATATATGGAATATGTATTAGAGTTCATATTTTTCCTATTCCCCTACCACCACCACCACCTCCTTTTTTTTTTTTTTTGTCTCTAATGAGAATGGCAGGAAATGCCATCCAGGGTATCTAAGACAAAGTTTGAAAACAAAACTCCACTTCAGACATTTTTGTTTTGATGTTTTTTTAAATAGTTACTGAAAACAAGATTTTGTGTTTCTGCTTGGCAGAAAAGAAATTTAAAAAAAATAAAATACAGTATCCAAATGAAAGAAAATTATCTTATGTCACAATCAAAATATATTAAGGGAAATAAGACCAAGTCTAAAAATATAAACGTGGATTTAATCTGAGTACTCAACTAAGAAGTAAAGAGACCTTCAAGAAAGCTAAGTGCGCTGGGCTAACAGCATGTAATAGATTCCAGCACATATCTGCTTTTGCGTGTTTTTTAAGTACGTTTTTACCCTCATGTTGTCTATGTGGGTCACAATGAAATATGAGAGTAATAATAAAAGTTAGCTGTTATTAAATTGGTGCTTCATGAGTAGATTTTTTTATTCCCAAAGCTTATCAGAGTGCACTCTGTACAACATATTTAAGTCACACTTTATCTGAAAACAAGTTTGAAAAATATTCAAATAGACCCTGTTGTGAAACTTTCCAACATAGTGTCTTTGGAAAAAATATCACTTCCCCTTTTTTAAAAGGGAATACAGTAAAATCACAACCAAGCAAATGGTTTTAACTCCTAAAGTAAATTGGTGGTTGGCACACCAAAGATAAGTTTTCTCTTTGTTCTAATTTCTTTCCCCCACCCAATAAAGCTGTCTTCTTTTTTTCTACTACTAAGTCCTCCTGCTACCTAACTAGCTACTTAATTCTAAGACAAAACTTTTTCTTAAAATTAAGGTGAAGGGGGGGGCGGAGTTCCTGTGCCTCATTAAAACGTCAGGCTTCTTTTCTGACTCGGCTCATAATTGTATCTTTTAAACCATAACTCAACCTTAATGTATACTGCTTGTCACCCGCGTGTTGGCGAGCTTAAGGAAATGCCGACCATGTACCTTTAAGACCGCAAGCTCACTCATGCTGCCTGGCTTCCTGCCAAACTTGGAGGCAAAAGCAGGACGATTTTTGCAAAATATCCTCTAACAATTGAGGCTGCTTAGTCCAACACCATCACCACCCTCACTTTACCAAAAAAAAAAAAGCCTGACGTGGGTCATCCACAGTCTCAGCCCATTCACCATTTCCGGGGAAGAAACCTTTGCCCCCAAAGCTCCCCACGCTCTGTTACAGGAGAGAGGGCCCACGCCTGGTTTAGGTTTCAGAGGTTCAGCCACTCTGCATCAAGGTTCCTAAGCACCTTTTTTGCGCCCCCTGGGACTCCCCAGATTGGTCAAAGGAAGTTCAGGGTCCGCTCTTCCAGCTCAACACCCCGTGATCTTCATTCAAAAGGCCAGAGTTACCCTGGACGGGAAGACACTCTCTAACCGTCTTCTGCACGCGGCGGTCCCAAGCGCAAGAAGCGGCTGGGAGAGCCTGCGCTGACCGCGACTGTGAAGGCGGCCCTGGTTTGCAGAGTTCGAGCCCCAGTTCCCTCGCTAGGGCACTCAGAGCCGCCGGAGGAGGCGGGCAGCCAACTTCTGGACTTCCCCGAACTGCGTGGCCTGGGAGTCACCCCTGCGGCGCGGAATTAAGAAACTTACTTGTTTTGTCATGGAGTCAATGAGGCGCACGTAGAAATCCTGCTCCGTTCTGATCCCTAGGGGGGGAAAGGGCGAAGGAAGGCGAATTAAGTGAGAGGTGATACGCACAAAGAAGAAGGGAAAAGAAAGAAAGAAAGATGCTCCAGGAAGGGTGGGGACTATGGATGTCCCCCTCCCCAGTGTCCAGTGAAGGGCCTCTGGCCTCAGCCTCCCCCAGTGCCCTTGGAAGTCAGCCCCTCGGAGCGCTGCTGATAAGGCCAGGGCAGTGCCCCTCCCTGGCCACTCTTCCTTACAATTCTGAGCCCACCCTTCAGCACTGCATAGGTGGGAGTCCATTAGCTCTCTCTAGGGGCCATCAAGTCCCTGGCCCCTCACTGTTCCTAAAGTGTATGAGGTCTTGAGCCTGGAGTCTGGGCCAAGCCATGGGAACGGACCTCAGGAAGGACGGAGAATTCTTGTGAACCAGCCAGGGCCAGGGCATTGCACCTGGTCTCAGGTGCGCGGCGACACACAGCCGCCCTCGGGCCTCTCGGAGCCTCCTCCAGTGAAACCTCCTCGAGCGAAACTAGGGGGAGGCTGGTCCCCCCCTAGTATGTTCCACACTCCGCTTCATGGGGGCTCTCGCCCTCCTGGGGCTCCCCCGCGCCCTGTTCCTGCCTCAGAGCCCCAGGTCCAGGCGCAGACCCCAGGGAGCCTCACCATTGCTGTAGAGGAGCTGCAGGCGGTAGTGAATTCCGTTATTGGTCTTTTCACTGTTGGCTTCCTGGGTTGCAGCAAGGCGCAAAGACACAGAGACAGGAGAAAGGTTGGGTTGAACGAGTGAACTAACTTGGAGGCAACTTTCCCCAAGCGCAGACCCCA